AACAAATCAATTTTGGAGCGAAAAACGGCAGGAATTAAGTTTAACACCTAATAAATGAAAATTGGAAAAAATGTTAATATAATGATATAATAATTGAATGTGATTTTTTAACTTTTGTATTATATAATATAATATTTATTAAGATTATTTTCAATTATCAAAGTGTAACTATATTCGAATACATAAAATACTTCAAATATAAAAACAGATTTAAATTAATTAAAATTAAAAAAATTGTTATTTAAATTAAAATTTTTTAAATTAAAATTTTTTTAAATTAAATAAAATACACTTACCTTTTCCAAGTGATCTCGCCAACAGTCCGTAACGGAATGCTAGTCACATTGCTAGATACAAGATTGATATCCGCTGTCTTTTTAATCCAATGAAAGATTGCTTAAGACTCCAAGAGATGGCGCTTTGTGGTCGAATTCGAACAATTGCCGCATGTGCGATTCGAAAAGCATTTGCATGCTGGCAAGTAGTGATTCAGTGCGCAGAAGCTGATAAAAGCCACGAAATCTCGATTAAACTTGGACTGTACACGTGTTCCACTTCGTGAACTTTACGAATAGTGGAAATCGTAAATTGCAAATGAAAATCCATATTCGTCTCCTCAAAAAAAAAAAAAAAAAAAAACGCATCCTTTCCAAAAATATGTAAATCCAAAAACATGCATGTTATTTTAGAAGTGGCAAAGAAACTGGAAAATATTAATATTTGAAAAATATTAGTCTACATCATTCTAAGAGCAGTCCGTACGTTTCGACATCGGTATTCGCAGCATTCACGAAACAGTGAATGCTGTAACGATATTTGTAAAGTATATCCTGTATGCGTGCTCTGTTCCATGAATGATTTTGATTTGGAATTCTTTGTCGCGATTGCATTGGATTCCACATGCTTTGCCTTGCCGCGGAAAAACAAACGCGGCATATCGCAACGCGACGTGGAGCTGTTAATATCCTTACACGTAAATTAGACGCTTATCGAGCTTATATACATAGAAAATGTATATGCGCGCTTTGATAAACACATAACTTTATACTCTCTACATTTCTTAAAGTGACATCTCACTCCAAAAGAGTTAAAATACTGCCACTATTAAAAGAGAATGAAAAGTTTGCGCTCCTGAATAAGAATAGCAGATTTTTACTCTTTTTTTCAAGTTGGATTTCACACTTTTGGACTGAGACTTTTTATACAAAAATGCAAAACTCTGAAACAGAAATGTTTAAAGGAAAAATATATTTCAGTATCTTAAAGTTGACATTTTAAATTACTAAAGAAAAAATAGTTTAAGTGTCGGTTGTTTAAAAAGTTGAGTTTTAGAGTAACCAGAAAAAACATTTTTTTTACAGTGCATAAATAGGTATAATTGAGCGTTTATTACATTGTCATTTTAAACAATGCATTTTATCATTGATATTGCATTAGAAAAACTTATAATTAGGAAAAAAACATTTTTGAATTTTTATTTGAATACTTTTTATTTTTATATTTATTATATTATATGAATATTATTTATAATATTTTACACAAAAAATTGTTTTATTTTAAATTTTTTAATAGTTTGTGAAATTCTTGCAATATAAGCGAGAATCAATTAAAGATAGAAAAAAATACAAATTTTTCGGCTGCAAAAAATTACACTCTATACAATGAATCTTTCACGACCTAAATGAATTTTTGAAACATTCTCGTCGAAGGATACGTGAGAATGAGAGCCTACAAGGCACAAAACTTGTTCTTTAAATGCCAAAGTTTTTTAAGGAAAAGAATATAAATCAGTTTAGTCAGATGTTTATAATATTTTAAGAAAAAAAAAACGGTGGGGATACGAATACGCAATCGTATATATTAAGGGTTGATAAGGATATTATTAATTATAATGAAATATTTGGTTATAATTAAATGCTATTTGTTCAATTATTGAGCAATTTTATTTGCTTAATTATTATTAAACAAATGGCATTTTATTAAAGTAAAAGTATGTTTTGTTTCATTATTACTGTAATTGAATTTAGATTATTTTCAATCAATCTGTTATTAGTTAATGCTATTAATACAATATAATTTTTTTCGTGTGCAGAGAGATCTATCTATGTAAAGTTTATAGTTTCGCTTTATGCAATCCTCGCGTGTCAAGAAAAATTTCACAAGAAGTTATTGTGACGTTCGTCTGATAAGCGGACTGATCTATGCATATGTATATGATACGTATCCAATCAGAATTCTTAATTATTTAATGGCTAAGAATAAACAAAGTTAAAAATACAAATAAAATCAGTAACGTGACATTAGTTTCGAGTAAAATAAATTTAAAATTACTGTGGTGAAGAAAATAAGCATATATGTGATTAATGATGAAGTAACAGTGAAAATCTTGTACGCTAAGAAACAAATCGCAAATAAATATTACATGTGATGTTTTCCAATTTCTTCGATATTTATTGGTTATGAAAAGATTTGAACGTGATAATCCAAAATATACATTTCTGTGAAAGATATCTTATTAATTGTAAAAAATAAAATTAATGATTTATTTGTTGGGAATAAAATTTCATTTCGTTATATTTAAATAAAAATTCATTTTAATAAAATAAACATTATGTCACAGATAATTTTTTGTATATTTTTTTCTCAATCAATAATATATAGCTTATTTGATGATTATTTTTTCTCAATGGTTGCTTGAAATTTTTCCAAAACTGAACGTATACACCGCACATCCATAACTTCAAGATTATTTTTCATTTTAGCATGAGACATCATAGCTGATAATATCTTTTCTAAACCCAGCAAACGAGAATGGATTGAAATAGATTAAAATGGATTCAGATTTTCAGGAATACGGATTTATGAATGTTAAAATAAATCTTTTTCAATCCTGAATGCATTTTTATTCATTTATAACCGCTATAAATGAATAAAAATGCATTCAAGATTGAAAAGGAATAGATATTTGTTTTCTATAAATTATAGAAATGACAAAGAGTATATTTCTATGCTTTTCAATCTAAAAATAATATTATAATATTTTGTGTGCATCGTGAATACTGCGTAATTCAAAATTCTGAATAGAAAATGCAGTTTTTTAATCCAGTTGAATCTAAAAATAATATCGGCCATTTCTATGCATCGTGAATACGCGTAATTCAAAATTCTGAATAGGAAATGCAGTTTTTTAATCCAATTGAATAAAAAAAAAGTTTTTCTTTTAAAATGGGCCATGAATGCTATTCAATTCAAAACTGTGAGTAGAAAATCCATTTAATTTTTTATTAAAAAATTCATCATGAACGCTACTTTATTCAGAATTATAAATAAGAAATTTTTCGTTTTAATTCAACTGAGTTAAAAAAAAGTTGTACCATAAAAATATATCATGAATTCTACTTCATTTAATTGTTAAAAGAACATAAAAAGAACTACGTAAATATGTACAATAAATGTTACATATATAAATTCCTTATTTTTTATTAATAAATTAATCGCTTTTATGTATATTTTATATATATTTTAATACGTTTCCTTTATTATACAGCTGGCGTATATTTTTCGTAGAAAAGTTTTAAAATAATAACTATAGAATTTCATGTAATTACTACTTTAATTTATTTAAATTTTTACATGTATAAAAATTTTTTATATGGAATCCAATCCATTTTTATGAATGTAAAATACGGATTCGGATGGATTGAAAATTTTCAATACATTTCAATCCATTTTCGTTTGCTGGGAAGAAACTTCTTCTAAAAAAAGACTGCTTCAAACATAGAAGTGGGACAAAGTTTAACAAAGTATAATAAATCATTTATAAATATTATAAAAGATTAAAGCATCGATGTGAACTTGAAAGTTAAGGCTCGATTTTCATTCCTACGTCATCGTAACGCGATTTCGGTTTTATGTGTTAAGTACGTACGTAAGTTTCGCTACATTGACCTATTAACATATTTATCTATGGACCCAGCCATCGATTCTTCCTCTCCCTCATCTCTCCTTCCAATCAAAGCGACCCTAAAAATCGCCCTGACGCACGCAGTCCACCTTCGCCCTGTTAAATAATCATCGTTCGCGTCTCGCAGGTCGCCAACAGACGTCGCATCTAAAGAGCGTTAATCGTCTCGTAAATTATTTATTGCGACACCATGTCAACGGAAACGCGCGTGACTGCACGGGATCTCAATGAAACGCGCGGGATTTTTTCAGCACTGAAAATTGAATTCCCGTCCGTCGTTGATAATCGCAACAAAAATAGGAAAAAAATAGAAACCGTACACTGAGAAAAAAGTTTTGTTGATATGTGACCAACAAAAAGTTTTTCGTTGTCCTAACCAAAATTTGGTTATGCTAATCAAATTTTTGTTGGGGGATAACATAAAGTTTTTGTTAGAATAATATGTGACTAACAAAAACTTTTATGTTATCCTAACAAAAATTTGATTAGCATAACCAAATTTTGGTTAGGAGAACGAAAAACTTTTTGTTGGTCACATATCAACAAAACTTTTTTCTGAGTGTAGGTATCTTGAACGCATCCAAAAATGTATGTGCGACAAAAATGTTGAGCAGTCCGAAACGCACGCAATGAGTACTCTCTAAATCTGGATCAGTGGATAATCACTGATATCAGTGTCACTGGTAATCAGTGAATTAAATGTTAGATTCCTAACTTAGCTAATCTTTATTATGTGATCTAACTAACCTTGTTTGCTTAAATTCGATGAATATGATATTGGAAGATTGAAATTAACATGCAAATATCAGTATTTTAGTTACGTAATGTTTAAATATTCTTCCTTTTTTAGTTGAACTTCACTGATTATCAGTGCCAAGTATGCCACTGAGTAATTAGTGACTATTCACTGATTCAGATTTAGAGAATATAATCATCGATAATCTGCAAAAAATTGAAAAAAGAGCATTCATTTTTCGCGCGCCATTTTATTTCGCTCGCATTTCGAATCTCGATATCATACTCGCGTAACAAAACTGTTTATCTATTTATCAATTATCTCTTTATTTATACGATTTTTCGTAAACTGGATTGATTAAGAATTGAATTGACTGAGAATTGAATCCAAGTGTCAGTATCTTATGGGGTGTGTTTAATTTACTCCATTATTATACTTAACTTTTATGAAATGAAGCCTCAGAATTTTTTTTGCAATTTTAAATTTAGGCGTGATAAATTTATATGCAAAAAGGATATATCCATTGGAATAGGATATACACGACTCATAAAAAATTTACCAAAAATTCTTATAAAGACGTAAAATAACACAGTAATTTATAAAATGTGTTTGTAAAATTTTATTAGGGAATAAGAATGAAACATATATACGAATAATAGATAATAATTCTAATCTTT